CCATAGAAAAAGCTTTCTGGGCCAAGCTGCGGCCTGCAGGAACGTTTGCGGGCGGGGCCCGTGGGTGAAGAGAAGAGGCAGGCTTCGGACAGGCCACAGAGAGGCCGCGGCAGGCCTGCCGGCTGCCGAGGAGGGGTTGAGGGCGGGGCCCGTGGGTGTCTAACGTCGCCTTCGGAAGCCCATAGAAAAAGCTTTCTGGGCCAAGCTGCTCGGAAGCCCAGAGTAAAAGCTTTCTGAGCCAAGCTGCGGCCTTTGTTTGGCCAGTGCAGGAGTGATGCCGACGCAGTAGGGCTTTGAAGGCGGGGGTGGCTGCTTAACGTGGCATGCTGGGGCTTTCGTTTGCACTGCCACCCGTTCCACCCTCCGGTGTCCCTGGCGCCGCCCCGCTTAGGCAAGGGCTAAGCAGGGGTCGGCGGATTTTTTACAGCACATACCCAAACCTACGCCTACTGTATGTGTTTTATTTGTTTTACATGTGGGTTGTGAAATGAAACGTGCAATCGCACTTCATCGAAAGCAGCAGCGCCAACAAGCTGCTGCTGAGCAAGCAGCGGTTGGATCTACATTGGCTTCATCGACGAAGTTGCCCACGATCTTCGTTGACAGCTCGTTGCCCTCGCTGCTTCGTTGACAGCTTCCCCGATGCTGTGTGATTGGGCGGGTCAGGAAGTGTGTGTGGGTCTTTCTATAGGGAGCCCCGTGCCCGGTTGAAAGGTGGCCATCTGTGGGGACTGACGCAATCCGCTACGCCCTATACGGGCTCACAAGGAGATTTGCTGCGATGAGAGTACTGCTTGTGCGAATTTTTCCATTGATGTCTCATACTTGGTCATGGATCGTCAAGGGATATGTCTATTATTTTTCAAGCTTGTAGTTTCCACATCCCGAGGATTTACGATGAGATTTGTTGTGATCAGATTACTGCTTGGAGGCCTGCGGTCACTTCCGTCCCTTACCACATATATAATCATGACTCGTAGGGGAAAGGGTTGTGACAAACCGTAGATTTGTGATTGCAGGGCACCTTCCGTTCCAGCTTCGACTCATTTTGGTGCAATGGCTGCTGGAGGGAAATCACGTGTGAAGATTGTCCTGGAGGAGTGGTTGCTTTTCACCATTGAATGCACTGATTGTTCCAAAAAAGCTTTGCCTTCAGCAGTTAGTCAACTGTAACATGAGCATGGAATGTCCAGATGAACTTGATTGGGAATCCATCACAATATATTATACATATTCTTAGTGCAGCCTTGTACTTAACTACTTTGGTTCCTAAAGCACTGTGTGTACTCAGGTGAAACGCAACATCATACCCCTACCCCACCAGGATCTGTTGAAGGACTATACAGCCAGCAGAAGTTGGACAGCGCACGGCGCTCATCGGACCACATGCTTTTTGACAAGCCGGAGACATGTCCTGTGTGTGTGTGGAGATGGTTCCTGATCTCATGAGTGGTGGTGTTGTTTTTTTGGTAGATTGTAGTGATTGTCGAGGTGGTGATGAGTGCCATGATCTAGATTCGAGATCTTAAAAATATTTCAGAGGGAACATACAACACCAGGTGGAGTTGCATTGGGAGTTCATCCTGAACTACATGGCTTCACTGGAGCTCTACATTGCTTGTGTGAAGCACCATCAGGTTCGGTGCTGCTTTCAAAATGCTTATTGCTATATAGCGTATGTACCAGTGGTGGTTTCAAGTTTCCAACCTGTCTAAGTTGGGCTAGGAACATGCAAGCAGCCCAAGCCCCTCAGCAGTTCTCCTGTCACTCACAGCGATCCTCACGATCCTCATGACCTTGGGAAAGCGGTGCGCGGTGTGGTGTCACGTCAAGGGCTGTGATTTCAAGGATTGGGCTGGGAATAAAGCAGTTCGTTTTGTTGGATGTCGGCAGGTGTCATTTGGGAACTTGATAATAAACATGTACTGGGTTTGCAGATTTTTGCAGTCACCACAAGCTCCTTTTAGATCTAGACACAGGAATGGGCTGGCCGTGAAGCGGGCTGCTTGCAGGCTATGCTGGTGCACTCATTGCTGTTGCGCCGGCGGTCTACTTCATCAAGGTCGCCCAAGGGCAGCTTCTTAGATCTGAAGCTCAAATCAGGATGGTGTTCACAAGAACATGAATTAAGCTCAAGTACTGGCACAGTCAGGTATAAGTGGAGTCACAAGTGAGTGCTGCTTGTGATGCGGCGCTTGCTGGCCCTGATGATTCGACTGGCCCTGATGATTCGACTGTGGCTGCTCCATCTTCAACCTGTTCGCCAGCACCACCATTGGAAAGGAACAATGCCACCACACTTTGAGCTTCACACTTCATGATCACAGTTTGGCTGTACAGACTCCACCCATTGGTGCAGCCTGACCCACACTTAGAGCGATCCATGCAGATGGCGCACGGCGCCAAGCGGAGAAGGACATCTGGTGGGCACATCTGGTGGAAGTCGCTTGCTAGCTGTTTTGCCGAGGTGGAAGCTGAGGAGTCAGTTCCATTAAACTTGGAACTAAAAATATAGAGATATATGTATACTGCTTTTGCTATGCGGATGTGGTTTTGATGCGCTTGAGAGAGTGAGGGTGGTTTGCGAATATTTGTATTTAACATTCAAGCACCAATCAAGAAGGACTTCAGTGCTGGTGCTGCTTGGGGGGTTGGGCTGTCAATCAGGGAACCCATGCTCATCCAGCCAAGTGGCCATCACCAATGTGGAGTGCATTTGTTCATGGCAAAATGTTTGCGCTTTTTGTTGCAGGAAGATCATACCCGAGAACCTGTGAGGTCTGTGGGTAGCATTCGAGATCGTACCCCCACATGGTTCTGAGATTAAGTATTGAGATTCGGAATAGTTATCGACAACCACAACCCGTGGTTGGTCAATTTCCAATGAGGTCATTGTCGGACTCCAGCGTGACACCCCGTGACAGGGTTGGACACCATTACACTGTAATTTCCGAGTCCGCAATACACAACTTGTCCAAAGCCTGTTTCCATCCCCGATCAAGTTGCGCATCCGGCTGCTCGGTTGACCCGCTGATGTCATCCTTGGATCGCGCCACGTTTGTGAAGGTGTGGTGCTGAGGCCAATATCTTCGCAAACCAATCCACCTCTTGGAACTTTAGTGATCGGAAAATCAATCTGTGATGCTTTAAGCGGGGTCGGCGTGCAATGAATAGTAAAAATTCCTTGCAACAACCTG